TCCATCCTCTCCTTTTATACTGTTAGTGTTGTGGCTTAACGACTTCGCTTTACGTCAGTTTGTATATTAACATATTAAAGAAATCGCTTCAAAAAAGTAGCTGAGCAACGGCTCTCATATTTGCAGGTGACAGGTGAACCAGAGCCTAGCATTGAATGGTTGTACAATGGTGAGCAAATTTCTGATAGTCGAAAAGTTAGGAAAACATATATGTCAGGACGCGCGTCATTATTCCTTCTGGAATGCAAACTAGAAGATGAGGGTGAATATTCTTGTAGAGCAAGCAACTCCGCTGGTTCGGATACTAGCAAAGGAAACCTTTTTGTAAAGTAAGTAACTCCGGCTTGCTGCTCATACGTTTATAAAAACATGAACTTCTTTTGCAGTATACCTCTGTATTTTGCAAGAATAATTCTTTTTTGCAGAAGAAGAAAAGCTTCTATTATTGACGAAAATGTCCGCAGTGATTTGACTGAAACTCCGATGGTTAATGGTAATTTAACGGAGACTCCATTAGTAAACGGTGATTTAACAGAAACCCCATTAGTAAATGGTGTTGTAAAGGAAACTCCAATTGTAAATAGTAAAGTCAGCGCTGATCCACCTAAAGTGTCAGTGTTGAACGATGACCAAGCTGCAGAGGAAGTAGAAAAAGATGTTGAACAACCGTTACAAATCACTAGACACATTGAACCAGTCTGTGTGGCTGCTAATGCAAATGCTGCATTTACAGCATCAGTTTCTGGTGTGCCAGATGAGGTTTGATTCGTTGCAGATTTAGAGCTTTATTTTTCTGCCCGGGGATCAGTGAGCTTTGTAAAAGCCGATGGTTTCACTTATTTAGGTTATTTGGATGAAGAATGGTCGAGAGCTAAAATCTGAAGGAAATATTGTAATCAGTGAAAATAATAATGTTTATCAGCTTGAAGTAAATCAAGTAGCAATCGAAGACCATGGTGTTTATCAGTTTGAAGCAAGACGAAAGGGGAAAACTGCATTTTCGGTCGCATCCCTTGTGGTTTTAGGTTAGTGTAGCTTAAAACAAATTTTGTGCTTTTACAAAGTAATCTTTTTTCCCCCTTCGGAATAAATTCTTTACACATTTGTTTTTTTTCTAAGATATAGCCAACTTTTAAGAAGTGAATGTTTACTGAAGAGGAAAACTGTACAGCGCTTATTTTCTAGGAAGACCAGTTGAGCCAAACATTGCAAAACTTCCACAGTCGGTTAATGTTAGGCAAAATGAGCCAACAAAGTTTGTGCTGGAACTTGAAAATGCTGATCATTTGAGTGTACAGTGGTTCAAAGGAGCTGACAAGGTTGATAAGTCGGATCGAATAAAATCTGTCAAATCTGGCAATGCTTTTAAACTCGACTTTAAAGTAAGCTTTGTATATTTGGTTTTCGAAAAAAATTAGTTCTTATACTTTGAGATCACATCTAGACTGAGAAAAGTTAATCGATTTAAGAAATTTTTGAAATAATACTAAACAGCCGAGAAACTTTTACGGCATTTATCTACTGTATTCTTCCTGAACTCGCCTCATTGTCCCCCCCCTACCATTTTTATTATTTTTGATACACAAAAAATTTTTGGTCTTCTGCAGCTGCTGAAAGATCAATAGAGGAACTTTCTAAAGCATGTAAACAGAAGTTGGTGGGAACTTCAGCTAAAATGACGAATTTTAGAGTGTTGAATTGTCGGATGAAGGCGTTTATGTAGTGAAGTTGATCAAAGACAAGAAGGCAATATGCAAATATGCAGCAGCAATGCAAATAGTTCTATAAACTTTGTCAGCAGCTTGCGGACCTATGTGAAAAAAAATAGACGACGACTAAGGAGAAGAAGAAGAAAACGAAAAAACAAGCAAAAAATATAGTGTTTTCTTTTTTTTGATTCCTTGGTTCTTTGTTTACAACCTTCTTTCATTTCAAAGTTTCCCCATTTTTTGCATTAAATGTTATTATTATTATTATAAATACTAGTATTACTATTAATATTAATATCAATACTAATATTAATGTTGGTATTAATACTGATATTAATATAATATAAATACAAATATTAATATTAATATTAGTATTAATATCAACATTAATATTAATATTGATATCGATATTGATACTGATGTTGATATTGATATTAGTATTAATACTACCATCAATATTAATATTGATAATATTATTATTACTACTATCATCCTTGTACTGTTCAGTATACTTCTGTATAATGTTTTAACTTAATTTTTTTACATCTTCAGTTCCCCACTTTTTATCTTTAGTATCCTCCTCTCTTTTCAAACGTTTTAATAGTGTTATGAAAATGTAAGAAAATGTCTGTTTTTAGTATACGTTTCTCTTGACTGTATGATTAACTCATTCGTTCAATCTTTTCAAAGATTCATATTTTATAATTGTTTTTTCTTGAGAGTTTATATTTTGTTATGAGAAAGCAAAAAAATAACGAGGGATTGGATTATTGTTGCTAAAAATCGGAAAGAAGAAAAATTAAACGATATTTTTCGCTATAGGTAGTTAGTTAGGTATACAGTTTTTTTCTGCGGAAAATAGGTAAAATAGTTCCTCACCAAAAAAAGGTGGTCAACTATTATACAGTTATTTTTATAGGAAATTTTTGCTTTTTTCAAATTCTCTTTAATTCAATTGTGTTTTTTTCTGCCTTTTTTCCTCTTTTCATTAACCAGACAAAACCTTTCTTTTTTCTTCTATTGGTCAATTTTACTACCAAGTCTTGGTAGACGCTATGTTCGCACAATGTTCCAAGTTTATTTTCAGATGCAGCAGAAAAAGAAGAAAAAATGAAAGAAACAAAAAAAATAAATAGAAAAACGATTTTTTCTTTTTCACCTTACGTGACACCAAAGTTGTTGTGTTATAATATTTGATGATGTTTTCTTAATTGGGCTTCTTGCGGCTAATTAAAAGAGGCTTACTGAAACCAAAAAAACGCGTCCTGTTGCTTTACATGTTCATCACCTCGAAAAAGCCATAAAACTGAATGAAGGAATCAATTGTGTTGTCCAGTGTAGGTTACTAATTCCGGGTGAACTGTTTATAATGGTGTGGCTTAACTACTGGTTGAATATATACGAAGTAGAGGTTCTACCAAATTGATGCGGTCAACGTCAAGTGTTCATCTTAGCGGTAAACACTTCAGTGACTAACCACCAAAGTAGGAAGCTGACTGTAGGTAATGGAATCGGGAATCAGCAGTCGCACCCACCAGTTGGTTAATACCTGGATAAACACGTGTACTGGATAAAAAGTGTCATACGGTTAAAATGTGATTAACTGATTTAATTCTTAAAAATATTCATTCATTACCATAATAAGGTTTTAATTGAATACATATTAACTTGTTTCCATTGAAAAAGGATTTCAAATAAATTAACTGAACGACTCTAATGTCCTTGAAATTTTCAACAGCCACTGGTGTATCTGCTACAGCTCACTGCTGGTAGCAAGAAACGCTGCAAGATAATCACCCTTCACATATGCAATCTACCTGTTACTGGTTAGCTGAGGGGAGATTTGCTTAATCAGTCTTTCCAATTAAAGAAAAAAGCTTGAATCATGCACTTTTCTGACGATCCAGATCGTGAGAAAATTCAAAAGAAACCACATGTAAAGCCATTATTCCATGCAGGAGAATAAATATTTTTTTGACATTGGTCGGCAGTTAGAATCGAGGAGGACAATATTGTCAGGGATTAAACTTGCGGCTTTTATTTGATTTTTGCAGTTGACTGTAACAAAAACAAAAAATTGACTCCACTCTTTGTTACTGATAAGGATAGGTGGGGAAAACGTTGAAAAAAAATTACATTGGCATCCTCACTTCCTTTGAAGGACAAAAAAGGGTTAGGGGGAAGGAATGAAGGAACAAGTATGTATATGCTGGTAATAATGCAGGTTATAGAAGACAGAACGTCTCTGCAACTTTTGAAGCAGCTTCCTTTTCTTTTTTTTTTCTCTAAATGCAATAGTCTCCTTTCAAATAAGAACTTCTTTCTTCCCACTTTCTTTGTTTCATATTCACGTCAAACTCGCGCCAAGATGAGGATACTTGAGCGTTGAAGCCGGTTTGTTTGTTGGTAAGAAGAAGAGACAAAGACAAGAAGAAGAAGACAGAAACTGAGTTG